GGGGTTGAGGAATTTCAGGGACAATTGAGGGATCCGCACAAAATTATTTCAGTGTATTTATTTTTCGTTCCTATATTGTTCCTCTCTCTATCACATGTTCCATGCACCTTGTCGTTGTGTTTAAGGGCGAGACTTAGTTAATATCATAGAAATTTAACATTTTATGATATTTATTGATGGTGGGGGGGTTATTCTGGACATTTACCGAAAATTTCGTCTTATACACACTGAAAAATTTTTTACTCTGAAGAATTCTAACTAAAATTTCAACATCCATAACCATTTATCTCCTTAATCTGATACAATCTCACTTTCAGGAGAATTACTCTCGTCTTTTCCCTGAAATATGAATAAATGTCCAGTAATGTACCTGGATGAAAACTTCTTCGCCACTTTCTCGCTTCTTAGGAAATTTTCCCAGGATCTGGTGTTTATTGTGCCTTCCGCGACTTTGGCGATCTGGAGGACAAATTTTCTCATGATCCTGGAAAATTCGGATGTGCTTTAATGGAACTAATAATGGGTGTTGACTTCGCGGGACGGACCGCAACTGGTAGAGGCAATACTTTACGAATCCCAAAAATTGTTTTTAATGCAGCGCGTGGTTAGTCTTCATCATTATTATTGACTTTTTAGGAGGAATGAAATATTAATAGAAAAATTCTATTGAATCATGTGGACTATCCCCAATTTAATATATGGAGAGAAAAGTTCACAAAAAATTACGTGTGAGTTCTGTAATTCTAGAGTGAATTCTGGTCGATCTCTCATGTAATTTTTGGTGAACTTTTACTCTCCGTGTAACGACTAATTCACTTTGACGATTTTTATGTTTCGCTAATATAACGAAAAAGGATGTTACCTGCGGTGTCCTACATTTTCTGAAAAATGATTTATGAGACTAATATTATCGATTCTACAAACCCTGATGCTCCTCTGATTGAAATATTATACGAAAGTATTCCTTAAAATGTTGTTTTTCGTTTTTCCTCATAGATTGCACCAATTCCACAATTCGAAAAGCCACAAGAAATAAGAAATTATACTTGAAAACAACTGAATTCACTCGCAAAATGACACAATTGTGTAATCGAATAAACAAGATCGCAGGTGTGATGCCGAAAAGTAAAAAGTTGAATAAAGATAAGACAAAGGAGGAAGAAGCTGGGAAAAGTGAGGACAATACTGATCCAGAGGTGGTTTTAGAGAATGTCACAGAAAACGATGGAAAAATCACCAAAAATGCTGATCTAGAGCTGATTCTAGATAAGATCATGGAAAACGATGGAGAAAGGAAGAAAAATGCGGATCTAGAGGTTATGAGGAATATCGATTCAGACTTGGAATCAGCAGATGATGAAAGATCGCAGACTGGTGAGACGAATGAAAATATGAAAGAGAGGGGAACACGGGAGTCGATTAGGCAGAACAAAATTATCGAGGTCCACATGTGGGACGACACTATTGCTGATAACTACAATCAAATCGGTCGTTATCCAGAAAGAATAGCTTCATCGCAAAGTGTTGAAGCACTCCTTGAAAACATGGATGAAAAACAAGCAATGAAGAATTCAGCGAAGAACCAAAAAAATGAAAACTATGCCGATTCAAACAGCAGTGAACGAGAGCAGAGGAAGCTAGACCGCAAGAGAAATGTACGGGAGGAAAGCGAGAATAAAGATCTTGGCTATGAACGAACTAAGAAAAAGCATAAAAGTTATCATAAGAACTCATATTCCAGCACTGGCCAGGGTCACAGAAGGGAGAAGAAACGCAAAGAGAAGAACCGCCATAAGAGCCAGAAAAGCAAGGAGAAGGAGAAGAAAAAAAAATGCAACGAGAGCAAAAAGAGCAAGAAATCCAGACATAGAAGTCATGATAAGTACTCCAAAAGAGACTCTGATTCGGACGAAAACTATGGCCGCATTAAGAAATGGAAGCTTTGAGTCACTGGATTTCAAGCCATTTATACACTAATGTTTTTTACTTTCGTTTCAATGCTCTGTAATGTTATTCTTATTCCATTTCAATTGAATGAGGATTAAATTTCATTAAAATATATCTTCTTCAAACGAGTTGACAAGTCTTATTTTCTGTCAATCTGACTTTTCAGACTGTTCCGAGCCTTCTGACCATTCGTATTGGACTGACCCATCTGACTCATCGGACTCGTCGAACCCATCTGACTCTTCGGACTGGTCGGACGCAACTGACCGTTCGGACTCGACTGACCCATCTGACCCTTCGTATTAGGCTGACCCATGTGACTCATCGAACTCGTCAGACTCATCTGACTCACCGCACTCGTCGGATCCATCTGACCTTTCGGACTCGACTGACCTATCTTACCCTTCACCCTCGTCAGACCCACCTGACCTTTCGCAGTTAATTGATCCTTTGTACTCCTCGGACCCATTTGACTGTAATGTCCAGATTATTTTAACACTTCCGCGATATAATTAAATTAAATATTAAATAAAAAGAGTAAAGTCAATAAACCTCCGCCACGAAAATTGGGCAACTCACAAAAAACTACCAACGACCTCAGTAGAATGTGCAACGCTGCATTCCACAGAGGCCGTTGAAACCCAAATTTTAGCAACTTGCAACTTTTCTAGCAAGTAGAATCGAGTCAATGAACCCAAAATCAAGGAGGTGGAAATCACGCCACCTCTCCCACTCCAACCAATTTGCCAATTTTCGAAGGAAGAAGTAGCAGAGCCTCCCCAAAATTAAGCAGTCTGAAAAAACCCGCTCACGAAAGAGCTACAACTTCCTGGCGGAATAATTATTGGAATCGGTCCGACTTTGGCTAATATTTCGGCGTTAATCTTTATTAAATATTCGGAGTGTTCCTGAATAATATTAGGGAACATAAATTAGCAACTGTTCGGGGATACTGCATCCTTAAACCGAGAGTAAATAAACTCTTGCATATTAAGGGACCAAGTAGTAACCGTTTGTGAATGGTGGGTGTGACTCAACATTAACTAACTGTGATTATTAAAAACTATCGAGAACCTAGACTCAATTTCATCAACAAATCCAATCTAAAACAACTGAGTGAAAGACAGGTACTCCACCTAAGTATCTGTGATAGTGTACTACCAGTCATCTGGCAGAGAAAAGAGGTGGAATCACCCCAAGAATTCACCCCCTAAAAATCATAATTGATCGCAGTGAGTAATTGTTCAACAATAAAACCTGAGATAGATCCATCAATGATTGTAAGGGTCCTTTAACTATAACTATTTCTATCACAACCAATGTATGATTTAATTATCAATTTTAATAAATATGTAAATTTGAACGGCCTCATATCTCGCATTTCATTCAACTAAATTCACTTGAAAATTACTGATGATATTAGCATCCGCAGGTAAGAACAAAAAGAAAATCCAGCGTCGTCCAAAAAATTTCTAATTAACAAATTCCAGCTTATGAACAAAATTCAATGTCCTTCGACGCGAAAATTCTCCGGACATAACATGACCCTTCATACTCAACTGACCCCTCTGACCTTCGGATTCGTCGAACCCAACTCACCCTTCGAATTCGGCTGACCCATCTGAAGGTCCGGACTCATCGGGCCTTTCTGACCTTTCGGACTCAGCTGACCCATCCGACTCTTCGGATTCGTTCGACCTATCTGACCCATCGTGCTCGACGTATCCATCTGACCCTTCAGTCTCGTCTAACCCGTCTGACTTTTCGCAGTTATTTAACCCTTCGGACTCGACCGATCTATCTGACCTTTCGGACTTCCAAAAATTCAAATAACTTAAGAATTTCGAGAGAAAAAAATTCCGATAGTCCCATCCAGGATTCGAATTTGGATACCCCAGTTACGCGCCGGGCATCATTCAAATTAAGCTACCGGGGTATCGAAATTTCTCACTTTCAAATCCAGAAACAAACACCGCCTACTTTCATTAAGCACAAAAAATTCAAATAAGTTAAGAATTTCGAGAGACTCATCTGACCAATCAGACTCATCGGACCCATCTGACCCTTGGAACTCGGCTGACCCATCGGACTCGTCGCAGTTATTTGACCCTTCGGACTCTACTGACCCATCTAACTTTTCGCAATTATTTGATCCCTCGGACTCAACTGACCTATATGTCCATTCGAACTCGACTGACCTTTCTGACTCGGCTGACCTATTTGACCTTTTTGACTCGTCGGACCCATTTGATCCTTCAGACTCGATTGACCGATCTGAAACCTTCGTACTCGACTGACCCATCTGACTTTCCGAAATTATTTCACCCTTTGGACTCATCTGATCCGTCGGACTCTGCTGACCCAGCTGAAGTTTCGAACTCGTCAGATCCATCTGACCTTTCGCAGTTATTTGACCCTTCGTACTCGACTGCCCCATCTGACTTTTCGGGCTCGTTGGACCCAGCTCGAACTCATCCAGCCCTTCGAAATTACCTAACCGTTTAGACTCATTTGACCTTTCGAATTCATCTAACCCTTGGGATTCAACTGACCCTCATTTCATATATATTCGCCGCATGTGACTTCAAATATTTCTTCCATTTGATTTTAATAATTCTAGGGCGCAATTGAGGTTAAATCAAATCCTTGCTGAAATGATTTCTTGGGTACTTTAAAACAGAATAAACTCACGCTGTATCTGGCCCCACTGTTTCATATTGTCCAACTGTTGCCTAAGGGAATCCATAATGAATTCGTTATTATTTCCATAATTTTGTCAACCCAATTCATTCAATTGTTCCTATATCGATAAGAAAGAGATATTTTAAAAAATTTTGTAAAAGGTATCCAAAAGATGAGGGTATGTTTGAAGACAAAAATCTCTTCGAAGATCAAAAATGTCTTCGGAAGACAAGAAAATTTTCAACACATAAAGATGTCTTTTAAAGATAAAATAATCGTCGAAACACAAAGATATCTTCAATAGACAAAAAAAATTTCGAAATATTAATATATCTGTAATAGAAAAAGAAATTTTTCTCAGACTAAAGGGTCTTTACAAGACACATTTTAATCTCTCGAAGACTTTGAACAAAAAATTATTCAAAAACTTACCAAAAATCTTGGGAAAAGAACAAAAGTCTTTGGACAACTTTAGAATTATCTGCGAGCGTGCCACATAGCAGATTTATGCAAGATCTTCTCCATTTGTCTCCCGAAAATCTTTAAAAAATCTTCACAAGATTATAATATTTTTACCCGGGGCTATCACGGATTTCTAACATATATCGAAAATCAACAAGGGAAACGTATCGGTTTCTGGCTTGTCCGTATGAGGCACCATCTCATCAACCCCCTAACGTACAACCTCACCATCATAATACTCGATCCCGTAAGTTTGCCGAGTATGCCCACAAGGCCCGTCACTAGTGGTTGTATCAGCCACCCTTTCTGAACCGTTATCACAGACTGCATCAATCATGAATGCGCAGCCAGGGGGATATCGAAAATTTTTCCCGATTAGATGCATCTTTTTTCTATAACGATCACTACATTGTCTCTAATATCGCGTTTCAATTCCCGAACCAAAGCCTTTACAGCAGTCCTTGGCACTGAATACCCTTCCGTCACACTCAATATATATTCACAACCATTATTAAGAGCCCTTTCAAACTTAGCGACTATTATTTCAACAGATGCCACCTCGTTATCAATCCGAAAATCCCACTTTTTTGTCGTTGAAGCAGCCTCGCACTGCTCAATCTTACACCTTCTTCTCCTTCGCAGTCTCAAAGATCTCCGGGCTGTTCCCAAATCCATTAAAAAATCTAATACTGATCGAGCAGTATGCCACCGAGCCAGATGAGCATCTAAATGATTGACATACGCAAAGACCCCTCCTAACATCATGAGTTCCTTAATTTTGAGGAGTAAGCAAAATGCGGCCCATCTTTTTTCTATATTTCACTCCAGGTTGACAGAAAAGTGATATACTGTGACGAGGCACTTTTTTTAACCCCTCCCCTGCCCCCTAATAATTGCTTTTTTTTAGATTTAGTTAGATATAAGTAAGTTAAGGAAGTGATCAGGCGACGAGGTTATAAAACCTGTCACCGTTGGCTCCCACTCCCAAAGATATCCCTTCCTTTGCCCCTTGCCACCCTCATCGCTACACTCACGCCGCTGGGAACGACAACATCGAGAGAAGGAGAAAACGCCTCACCCACCCGCCGTTCCCCTCATCTCCACACGCGTTGGAGGAAACAACTATAACCCACCATCCCTACGTCACGGCCCACGTGACCTGGAAGAAAAGAAAACCCCCCACGACTACGTCACAACCCACGTGACACTGGAAAAAAAACAGAACAGTCCCTAACAATAGGGAAATTAGGCATAATAACAAGGACACTCGATGACGAGTGTCCCCGATTGACCCCGATTATCACCGATAATCGGGGAAGAACGAGCACGAGTGATGCGACGCCATCACTCGTAATACAGCTGCCCCGTGTAGAGGAGAGGTTTTGAAGAAAGTAAAGAGAGTTAGGAGAGAGATTTGCAGAGAGATTTAGAAGGAAGTGTGAATAGAGTGTGAAGAGAGATTTGGAGGAGAGTTGAAGAGATTTGGAGGAGAGTTGAAGAGAGTGTGAGGAGAGTTTAAAGAGAGTGCAAAGAGATTTTGTGGAGAAATTCTGAGGAGATTTTGTGACCCAGGAGTGAGGACTAGGAGGATAAGAACAACCCCGTGTGGTCGATTTCGTGTGGAGGATTTTTCCTGAGAGGATTAGAATCGTCACCATCCCCGTGAGTACCCTTTCTTACCTTTCCCACCCCAACAAGTATTACCTAAACCCCTGTAATAATATTTCCCCCCAACGGTGAGCCTCTAAATTGCATAATTATAATTATTTAGTAATTACGATTTCTTGTGTCCAGGAATAATTGTTAGACAATACTAAGCCCCCCTAAATTTTATTAATTCTTCATTCGTTCCCCTAATTTCTCCCCTTTTTTGCAACTATTTAACTTCCCCCCTTTTCTTTTGTTCTCGTTACAAATATTCTTTTCTTTTTTTTTGTAATGATTATTTTTTCTCCGTGTGCCGCAAGCTGGCTGGCCTTACCCCCCACCCTCGAGTAATTATAAGAAAAGGCCTAAATCACGGTGTATGAATTTTGTGTGGAAAATTATAAAAATATAGAATATTAAATCATCACGTCCACCAATTATTCACAAGCTCCCCTCCCCCTTAATATTTCAGGGTCCCCCTCCCCCCCCGTACATTTTTAGACAGTCATTTAATAAAATCATCTATTATCGTTAATTTCCGACTATCGGGCCATCGCCAGGAATTAATATATTTTAATTCCCCGGCCAAGGTCACAATACCTATGCATCACCATTCGCAACAAATGTAATGAAGACACTGAGAGAATGTATGAGGGTTTAAATAATCAAATGCTGAAGGTAAAAACATTGTTCTCCATCTATACATTCGTTTATTACACAATCAATTTAAATGATATTGTATACAAAATTAAATGTCTTTGTAGATAAATTCACACGCATGATAAGGACCCTCCAGAAAACGTATAGATAAACGGCCCTTTACAAGCAATGTCTTATGATAGATGTATTCTGCGTGATCGTCCAAAAGTGCTGTAGATACACAGGCAGGGAGGAAAACATCATGCTCAGTACCCAGAGTAGCAACGACTCTTCTGCCATATTTGGTGTTAACACTTCTGAATGCAGTAATCTGATAATCCACACCTAGAGTTAGATCATCGATTCGCTTGATGGGAAGAGTCTCATATCGTGTAATTTTGTTGATACTTCGCTCAGCCATTTCCAAAGATCTTTTTTGTAAATCAAAATGACCACAAATTGATATCGTGAAATAGAATTAGTCGTATGAACGAAACTCGCAATTGATTACATTCCTCCATCCCTCCACAGTTCGCAGGAAACTTGACCACGCAGACATAACAACTGTTGAAAGAGTAATGATAATTCTTGATATGTACTATTCTCACTTATTACCAGCCCGTGGATCCACCAATCATGCAACAATTAGACGATCAGCCAATAGACGTAGTCGTCTTGACCAAATTGATTCCTCAAAATTTACGGGTGTGGGCTTCAGTCATAACAAAAAGAGACGCGCATGCAATTATATCATCACTTTATTTTTCGTCTCTGGATTGCTGATCGTTGCAGTACTTGGCCTAAATGTGCAGTTTGATCATATCTTTTGCCCTAGACAAAATTACGAAATCCAAAGGTGATGAATCATCATAAGACAGCGAAGTGTAACATTATCCGTGATTCACCGGATGTGTGATTTTTCAACGATTTTGAAAATGCTGAACATGCACCACGTGTTCCTAAACCACAATTTCATGTTTTACACTCTCCCGATCACCATATTTATAAAACCGCTGTCTATTGCAGCTCTTGAGATGTTTTATATCCGTAGTGTGATTCGTTTGAAGATATTATTCGTTGTATTACACTTGAAAGAGCACATTTTTGAAACAGTTACAATGGAGTGCCAAGATAATCGAAAAAATAGACGATACCTTTTTTTATTATTAGAACGGATAGATTTTATTTGCGATCGAGTACCGTCGTATCAGGAGCTATTTTTCGATCAACGAACGAAATATTGGAATAGTTTATCCCGGCCAACATTGAACAGAATACTAGAGCGCATAGTTTGTCATACGCCCTGTGGAGTACTATCTCAGGCTTATCGACAGGGATTCTTGACATCATGTAGAGGAATTTTGCGAGTCGTTAGGCGTGCTCTTCAGTTTTCTAACAAACGCGAAGCCAGGTGTCATCATTTTGCGGACATTCCAAACGTAAGTATTGTATTTTCATTATTAGTTGATATATCTCACGGATACAATATAAGGTCTACCGGCTCTCTGCTTAAGAGTGAGAGAGGAGCAGGGCCTCGAAGATTCAACATCGTCAGAAGAGGAGGATGATGAGCAGGTTATTCCTCAATACCAAAAAGGCTTGCTAGGGATGCACTATCTGTAGGTCCAGTAAAATAGAAAAGATACACACCCTCCCTTGTTAATGCTCGTTCATCCTCACCACAACCGGGGCCTTCCGGTATGCAGCTATATTCTGATACGGATAGTGAGGATGGTTCATGGATAGCACACAGCTCTGCAGTCGAAAGAAGATTGCAATTGAGAGCAAGGAGAGAGAGACGATACAACAGGATCAGACAAGCACGAATACCAGAGACAGATCCTACAGAAACGAATGAATGCACCTCATGCAACTCTTCCGATAGCGATGAGGATTCATGCATCGATGGTGTTGAGACAGAGGAGGCAAAGTTGCTACGCCGTTGTCAAGTTAGCTTAGACAACTTTTCAGCTATCCGTGGACTATGGGAGGATGCGGGTGAACAGGAACAAAACATTAGCGGTATAATATGCTCTCGGTTTTGTAAACCATTTTAAAAACGCGCACTTTTTAATTTACTCACGCCAAAAAAAAATTTCCGGGTGATATTTCTGGACGTTTCTGGGTATTTATACTATACTTACAACAAAGAGGGGGGATAAGCACTTATTAAGCCATTCAAAGGTGAGGCATTATACAATACAATTATACGAAGTAACTGCAGTACTTGTTTTTCTCTTAGAACGTCAAATAGGAGGGGCAATAACGAGATCTGCTACAGCGATCCAACCTAAAAATGCAGAAAATAAGGGCAAA